AGGGACCGTGCCCCTGTGCTGGGCACTGGGGGGGCCGCCCCTCGAGTGCTGGGGTCAGGGTTGGGCCCCTCCCTCCCCGAAGGACCTGGGAGGGCTGGAGCGTGTCCAGAGAAGGGCAGCGGAGCTGGGGAGGGGTCTGTTCCATCCCAGCCAGGTCCAGAGGCAAGGCTACCAGGGGTCTCTAATGCCAGGAGGAACTGTGCTGTGCTGCAGGAATCACACACATCCAGGGAAGGAGAGCGGGCGGAGGGGCTGGGGGTCTCCTCCCTGAGCTGCCACCACAGGGTTTACCTGGAGGATGCTCCGTGACGTCCAGCGCGTGCCAATACACCATGATGGAGCCGTCAGACTCGTACATCTGGAGAGAGAAAGCAAGATGGTGAGGCCTAGGGGGGTGGGGAAGTTTCTCTTACAGCATCAGGCTCAACCACTTCCCCAAGAGGTCTCCAAGAGAGAGCGACAGCTCTCTGGGTACGCAGCAGGACCTCCAGAGGGTCCTCGCAGCAAGCTCATCCTCCCAGCACTGTGACTTCGCTTCTCGCCCTCTGCGGAAAGCCACCTCACCTGGATCCCTTTCTGAGAGGTCAGCACCAGCAGGACGCGCGACGGCAGGATGCACCAAGCAGCCTGGAAGGGAAGGAGCTCTCAGCAGGGCTCAGGAGGGGCAAGATGGGGCAAAAGCCCTCCCCACCTCCTGGGGAAGGACAGTCTGCAGTCACCAGCAGAGGCGTGTGTGTTTCTGGCTCCTGCCACGGGGCACAGGAGGTGGGTCCCTACTGCCCTCGGGGACCTCTCCAGGGTCTCACCAACCATCTCAGCAGGCTCCTTCCCTCTCCCCCCTCCCCGTAATCAGGACACTGCAGGCTCCTGCTTCTGCCCTGGCAGGTCTACAGCCCTGTGTGCGCAAGGAAGGCCCTTCCTCCCTGCTCTGTAGCTCCGCTGCCTCCTCCCTGTGCTCGGCAGTCGGCCCGTTTGGGCCTTGCGGCCGATGGGTCCCCAGGTGAGAGCAGGCTGGCATTAAAGCGCAGACCTCTGCTGAGGCCAACACACGGCGCCGAGGCCAGCGTCATCCTCACCGGGGCACAGAAAGCAAAAGCAAAGACCAAGAGGTGATGTCACGGCATCCCAGGCGCCCCTTGTCACCCTGCACCACCCCGTCCTGCTCCCACCGGCCCCGGTCAACCCCCCGGCAGCGCCGCGCTCCTTCCACCCCTCCCCGCAACCATTCACGGGGTTG